ACTATATAGTAATAATTTTTAAGTTTAAATTTTAATTATATAAAATTATAGTTTTATTATAAAAATATATGAAATTATATTATATATATAATAGTTTTATAAATTCCTTTAAAAAATATTATATTTTAATATAAATTTATTATTATTTTTTTTTATAAGTAATTATTAATAATTAAAAATCCATGAAAATCTATAAAAAATCCATGGAAATACTATGAAATATTGAATTTCAGCATTTCGTCTTTTAATTTTAAATGTCTAAACTATTTCAGTTTAGTCAAATGACTAAATATTTCAGTTTTGCCTGGAATCTCTAAAGCCAATGGAGCCAATTTGGCTCAGCTCAGATTAGAAGCTGATTTGGTTTAGCTTAGTTTGAGGAAAATTAAACCACAGTTTGGTTCAGCTTAAGCCAGTTTAAGTTGAGGGAACCGATGGAGCTGATCATCTGATTTAGATTTTACAAGTTTAGCGTTAAAACTTAAATTTAAATTCATCATTGTATCAATAAAAAATAAAATAAATCTCTTTATTCTGCAAAAAAGAAAAAAAAACTTTAATACCTGTCTATTCTATTGTCTCTAAACTCAAGAACCAAAATGTTTTAAAGCAAAGTTTGTAATTAATGAAAGGAAATGAAAAGAAAAGGAAATAATAAAGAAAAACCTTCTATCTCTTTGTCTTTGTCATCTCCAAGTCCAAGAACTGAAATGTCTGAAGAAGAAGTTCGTACTTCGTAATTAGCAAAAAGAAACGAAAAAAAAAGAAAAAGAAAAAAACTTAATAACTAATACCTATAATCTCAGATTTAGAATTTTTTTTTCAATGCAGTAATAATAATTGTATAAGTTAATAATAAATAAGAATTATATTATTAAGTGGCCAAAGAGTTTTTATTAGATAGTAGGTGATTTTGCTGAGCATCTAGGTGGTCTAGCAAAAAATGATCACTTGATCAGATTATCAAATGATCAAAATCAAGATTATCTTTTTTTTTAAATTATCTTTAATCTTTTTTGCGTTGCACATTCATTTATAATTCTTCATAAAAATAAGAAAACTTTTTTCTACTATGAGTAATTTAGAAGGTTCTTGTGAAGTTAAAATGAATCTAATCATTTTAACTCCAGAATTAGGTGATATTAGTATTACTGATATACAGAAAACTGATGAAGAAGTATCATTAAATTCAGAAAAAAAATCAAACAGTCCAAACTTACTTCCAGTTCGTGCACCAAGTCTTGTTTGGCAGTATTATAAAAAGGTAATTGATGATAAAGGTGTTGTATTATATGTAAAATGCAATTTTTGTGATCAGAAATATAGTGCAAAGACTTCTACAGGAACTTTTAATGATCATTTCAAAAGAAAACATTCTAAGATTCAACCTAAAGGAGCAGGTTCCATAGAAGCAGCATTCAATAATTCTCAAACACGTACAACATTGCAAGGAAAAAATCATTTAGATATTTTAGATAATCTTATTAATTGGGTAATTATGAAATGTCAAGCATTTAGAGTTGTGGATAGTCCTTCTTTTAAAGAATTGATCGCTAGTCTCAATCCTGAATTTCAAGTTCCTTCACAATAAACTGTTTGTAAAAAAATTGATAATAAATATGCGCAAAACAAAAAGATCATTATAAAAATGTTTCAGGTAAATTTATTTTAATTTATAAATTGTATTGATTTTTAATTATTACTTAAAAGTTAAACTGAATCTTTTATTATTTAGGAAAATGATTTAAGAATTTCTTTCACTTCAGATATGTGGACTTTGGATACTGGTGCACTATATATGGTACTTACAGTACACTGGATTGACAATGAGTGGAAGTTAAAACATGTGATAATTGCCTTTCAAAGATTTCCTTATCCTTATACTGAACAACAAATTCAAGAAGTCACACTTAAAATATTTGAAGATTTTTCTATTGCAACAAAAGCTTTAACAATTACAATTGATAATGGTGCTAATCAAGTTGCTGCAATGAGATTACTTTCAACTGCACTTAAAACTAATTTACAAATGGATTTTAATGTAATTAGATGTGGTGCACACACAATTGCTCTTGTGGTAAATTCTGGTTTAAAAAGTTTTCAAAAAGTTATTGATAAAGTATGAGCTTTTGTTATGGAAGTACGTAGGTCACCAAAAAAAGAAGAAGTATTATTTTCTTTAGCATAAAAGTTACAAGTTAAATACAGGAAATTAATATGGAATGACAAAACTAGGTGGAATAATACATATTCTATACTAGAATCTTTTCTTGCAAATAAAGTAATAATTACTTCAGCAATTTCTTTACATAATAATTTTGGGAATCTGAATTTAGTGGAAAGAAATTAGCCTTTTTTGTGATTATTTAAAACCATTCTTCGAATTTACTGAAGTAATGTCAGGTTCTAACTACCCTACTCTTGGAACTTTACTTCTTTTTTTGGACCATTTACTAGATCATATAACAACAACTATAAAAAAATCTGGAATATTATGGATAAAAGAAATTGCTAAAGAAATGAAAAATAAATTTGATTCTATACAAGAGAATCTTTATAATTCAAGTGCTTATTTAGCTTTAATATTAGATCCTTGATATAAAACACAAATTCTTCCTAACAGTATAAGTGAAGATATGATAAAACAAATACTTGTAGACAAATTTAATAGTTATAAGAATCTGGCATCCTGAGAATGAAATTAACGAAGATGCATCATCAGGTAAAAAAAGAAAAGCATTAGGAATTATGGAACTCATGCTTCAAAAAAAGTTAAAAGGTAACTTGCAACGGAATGAAATTGATGAATATTTGATAATCCTTGTAGAATCCAAAAATATAAATCCTTATGAATGGTGGAAAACTCACAAATCACAATATCCAATATTGGTCAAAATTGCGTGTGATTATATTTGTATACCTTCTACTTCTGTTCCTAGTGAGCAAGCATTTTCTAAATCTGGAGAATTAATTAGTAAAAAAAGAAATAGACTGGGGGATAGTGCAATTGAAGCATGTATGTGTTTAAATTCTTGGATAAAATTATTAAATAATTAATTTTTTGTTTTTAATTCATTTGTAATTACATTATAACTAGTTACATTATAATAAATAAATAATTTTTTTGAAAACCATTAAATTATAAATTCATATATAATAAAATAAATTAACAATTGATTAAATTGAATTTCATTGACTTCATTTAGTTCATTGGTTCTATTACTTCTATTTCTATTGCCTTTACGGCTTGAATCAAACTATTAGCTCCATCAGTTCCATTAGTTCCATCGGTTTTATCACCATCAGCTCACTTGGTTCCATTAGTCCCATCAGCTTCGCAGCTTAATTTGGCTTAGTTCAGCTTGGTTCAGCTTGAACCTTCAAACCGATAGGGTTTGGCTTAGTTTGACTTGACTTTTGATCAGCTTGGCTTAACTTTGGCCTTAAGTAGGGATGGCAATGGTCACAATTATTAACCGATTATGATTGGTTATGACCATGACCAATATCGGTTGGTCAAAGGCTTCTGACCGACCATTTAACTGACCAGTTTGACCGACCATTTGACCGACCATTTAACCGTCCGTTTAACCATCTGTTAACTAACCATTTAATTAGTTAACACTTTTTTTACGAACTTAATCAATAAAAAATAAAAGTTGTTATAACATTTCTTTAGTGAATTTAATCAAAAAAAAAACACTTTAACATTTTTTCTTAATTAAATTCATTAAAAAAAATGGTTAAACGGTCGGTTAAACGGTCAGAAAAATGGTCAGCCAAAACAGTCAGTTAGTCAAAGGTCCTTAACTGGTTATGACTACCAATAACCGACCGTGACTGACCATTGCCATCCCTAACCTCAAGCTGAACTGAGCCAAGCTGTTAACACTAGATTTAATGTGCCATAGATTTATTACAGCATAATGCTATCAGTTTTTATTTCTAAAGTCACAGTACATTTACAAGCTGATTAAACATCTTCAATACACCCATGGTCTTGATTATCCTAACTATGGTTTTAAAATTCCTTATGTTAACCAAAATAATGGTATTATTCCAGTACAAGTCCAGCCCATTTTTGCTGATGATATAATATACATAGTAGAACCTTATAAGTTATAACCCTATTTCAGATATGTTTATTCCTGTAAAATATAGGAGGATTATCCCTAAAGAACCTCTTTATACTGAATTAGGAGAATATATAATTCCTGGGTCCCATGAATGGTTTACTTATATGTATAATTTAGAATGTCAACCGTGACCACCACCACCTTAACGTCTATCCTATGCTGAGCATCATGCTCAAAGACTACTTGAAGAAACAAATCAACGCATAAAAGATGCTGAAGAAGGAGCTATTTTACATGGTACATCTGCCAAACGATATCATCATCACGCTAACACAAAAAATTGGCTTACTCTACAATTAAATTCACATTATGAGGAGATGACAGATCTTACAAAAAATATCACAAATCAAGCAAAATTGAACATCAAAAACAACTCTGCTGTGAAATGGTAGAATTTAATGAAAAGTTTGGCTTCTAAAGTTATAATGCAATCACTTCCTTCAAAATGAACAAAGTTTACACTGTAATACCTGAACCATTGGGAACCATGATCAACACATCAGATGATACCAAAGAAATCAAAAGACGACCTCGACCTAACAAACATAACCTTATGTTACATATTAACTTTTTACCTACAGATGGTTACGATGACCAATTTAAATGAAGGTGACAAATTCCTGCCTTAGCTGATGACTCTTCAGAAGCAGATCCTTCATGTTACTCCATAGATATCTAACTTTTATAGATAGTTTTTCTTTTAAGAGTCAAATTATTTTTACTTCATATATAGATTTCTTTTTCTTATTTTTATATAGCTTTTGCTATTGGGTTTCTCTTATTTTTTTTCTTAAAAACAATTTAGAATAGTGTGAATCATTCCAACCATGACAGGAAAAATATGGATCTTTTATAGATTGTTATTCTATATACCGCTTCATGGGTTTTTTGGGGTTGTTTAATTTTCCTTATTATAGGATAGGTTTCTTTTTTTTTGTATCTATTTTACTTCTTTATATTAAAAAGACAATTACGGACCTATATATAAAGATGGTCATCGGTCCTAAAAGACTGTGGTCCTACAGTTCTATACCATAAAAAGATGGACCAGTCCGTCTTAGTGTAAGACCGCAATCTTTCAGTCCTGTATCACATATAATAAGACTGTCGGTCTCCCTGTAAAAAAAATGTCTGGAAATTGTAGCTAAAAACATCCGGAAAATGTCCGTGTGTTCAGAAAACGTCCAGAAAATTGCAATATTCCGGACACTTTCTGGACGCTGGGTCTGAACCCTTCTAGACATTTTCTGGACATTTTCTTGAAAATTTAAATTTTCCAACATCCAGAATATTGCAATATTCTGGACATATTCCAGACAAATAAACATTTTCTGGACATTTTCAGCTACAATTTCCGGACATTCTTTTTTTATAGGGTCTTTTTAAGTACCACAGTTTTTTTAAGACCGATCAGTCTTTTTTTTTTTTTACAAATAAAAAATTTTTTCCTTAACTTTATTAGGAATAGCCTTGTTTTATAAATATAAACACTAATCGGGATGTTTTTAAATATACAAAATTTTTTTTTACAAATGCGTCATACACTTACAATTATTGTATTAGTGATAATAATCATGATGTCTCACCATCCAGTGATTATAAAAATATGAAACTACCACCATTCGAATCGTCTCAATGAGATGCATCGAATGGTATCAAAATCATTATTTTATAATCGATAGAAAAAAAATTACATCAGCAAAACTATTTGATAACAAATTCAATAATTGCCGGCTATCTATCAATCCTGAAAATATGATTTGGCCACCATTCGAATCGTCTCATTGAGATGATTCGAATGGTAGTGGTTCATCATTTTATGATCACTGGATGACGAGATATTCCGCTTAAACGCTTTTTTGGAGTTGGCGTTTTGACAGGCAACTCTACAAGTGGGAAGAAGTGATTGTCATTGTTTATTGGTTTAGAATTGGTCAGTCTTTATATTATTTTATAAAGACCTTTATCAGATTAATAGATTTATTCAATATAAAAATCATTTATTATATGAAAACCGATATAAGGACTGGTCGGTCCTTGGGACCGATCCTACTGCACCACGAAAAAATGCAAGACCATGGTCTGGTCTTACAAGTCCTGGGACCAACCGGTCCAGGACTGAGTAGGACCGGTAGAACTGATGACCATCCTTACCTATATAAGATATATCATTCTATGCCTAACAGTATTTACGCATAGTAGTTAGTTATAACTAAAAGAAAAATACGGGTGATCTGTTTGAATTCCTTTTTTGTTTTTTTCTGTTCGCCTACATCACCGCACACTGTTATTCTATTTTGGTTAGATCACAGGGTAACTTTTTTCTTTTAAAATTCTAGTCAGAGCCTGATTTATTGGGCGATGACTTTACATTGTATTTTTTTTAATTTTTTGCTTTGCTAAAATTAATCCTTATCAATGTACTCTCCTGGCTACCCTTAAAATAAATAAATAA